CTTAAGACCTTCTGCAGAGGCACCTCTAAATAGCATTATGCGGGTCACTCTGTAATTGGGCGCATGCCTGTTGAGGGCCCAAAACAAGAGAGGGATAAAATAAAATAAAAAAATAAAAATAAAAAAAACATATGTTGAATGCAGAAATGAATAGAACTTCACTGCAAAAAAGGAATAAATAAAATGTTAGTCTATAATTGTCATTAAATAAAATAGTTCACTATCGCTGCATAATTTAAACTTCACACCTTCAAGGAATAGGCTACCTACTGCAAAAAAATCCAGGACTCTAGGACCATTCCCCTAGAAGTAGTTCGAAACGGCAGAAGTGGGTCCGGACGGACGGACGGACGAACGGACAAAACGTAAACAATAGCACATTTTTTTTAATTCTTAAAAAATGCGTTAAAAATGATAAACAATACAGTATATACCTACTATTTTTACGGGCCATATAAAAAGTTAATGATGATTTCTCTGCAACGAGGCGGTTGAAAATCTCTCAACGCTATCTTGTAGAGCTTGTTCGTTTGTGTCCGCTATAACTCTTAGTTAAGATCCCCTGATACTTTTTATAGCTTTTAATTTTTGTCCGTATGTTTGTCTGTCCGTCCGTGTGCGCGATAACTCTTTTTAAGTGACTGATCCTGCTGAAATTTGGTGTACCTACGCGCTTGCGGGTACTTTGGAGGTAGGTTGCTATTATATTTGAAGAAGAGATACCCTTTGATCACACAATCTTTGGAGAATCATGTGGACGACAGTGGTGTCATGCTGCTAGACGAAGAAAAACTGCACTTTCAACAAGATGAGACTCCCCACATTCTTAAAGACTTCAGGTTCTCAGATAGGTTTGGATGGCGGTCCGTCCTTTTGTTTGTCCGTTCATCTGCCTTCACTATATCTCTTGTGGTTAAGATTTTTAAAGCTTTCATTTTTCTCCATCCATCCGTCCATATGTCTGTCCGTGTCCAGCGGATATCCGTGTGCATTATTCTTTACACATGAATTTAAATTAAAAGCTTTCAAACGCCTTATCTTGATGCCAAAAGAGTACGTTAGATTATTGAATAATTAACTAATCCTTCACTCAACGATTAGTGCACATTTGAATTTGATATCCGCGTGTATTTGATTCAATGATCTTAAATTCTTTTTTTTGATGCCGCACGTGTATTTTGATCAAAACATGTCAAAATCGTTATTCTTGCACCGAGATCGTTTGGAAAAAGAGCAAGAACATGATCTCAATGAACAATGATCAAGACATCAATATTAGGATTAGAGTAAACAAGTTACTCTATGGATGGATCGAAGGTGCAAGGTTAAAATAAATGGTCGTTAAAAAAGTGATGGTATCACCATAGCCATATCAGTAATACTAATAAGTACCCTATGGTAATACCATTGAATGGTAATACTAAGGATCCTTCGCAATACTTAAAACAAGGTGTATTTACGTAGAATGACCACGAATCCAGCCTGGCATTTGGCAACATATGATTTTCCTTTATCCTAAAACCATATACCTATTCAAAACAATGCGCTTAGTTTTGCCGCGCTTCTATTATCAAATCCAATCGAATAGGTAGGTAAGCATCGTGCTCAGAATTAGTAAACATTTTGACTTTAATTTAATCAGCTTCGATCCATTTAATTAAATTAATAAGTTTTATACAGAGTGTATAAAAATCTAATGAAATGTATTTAAAAATGTTGCTTATTAGTTTATTACTAGCTGGATGCCAAATTCGAAAATGTATATACAGGGTGATTCCTATAGTACCTGCCACCGTTTGGGAGCGTGTAGGTGGTGCGTAGGGGAGTATTTTGATATAGGACACTTGGGGTCGGAAATCTAAATTAAGGGTGCCAGAGCCAAATTTACCTTCTGGAATTTCGCGCCTGTAGGTAGGCAACCCAACCGGCCGGCGGTGCACACGGAGCGATCTCAGGCGGCGATGTGTGGCTGACACTTGATCAGAATTTTGTTTAAACCCACGAAATCCCGTCTGCAACGACGCGTATCAAGTGAATAAACACTATGGCAATAGTATATAATAATAGTTGGCTAGATGTAGGAAGTGCATTGAGAACAACGGTGGCCACGTTGAACACTTGTAAACGTTATTGCTTTTGACTGTCGTTTTTCCTCCTTCCCTCCCATGTCGCTTCCTCGCGCTAACTCGCTCTGCATCGCTCCGCGCGAAACGTCGGTCGGTTGGGTTGCCTACATACAGGCGTGAAATTCCAGAAGATAATTTGGTTCTGGCGCCCTTATTTTAGATTTCCGACCCCAAGTGTCCTATATCAAAATACTCCCCTAGGCACCCCCTATACGCTCCCAAACGGTGGCAGGTACTATAGGAATCACCCTGTATATTAAATAAATGTTTTAAGATCTCCACGGATGCTCGGTCTGTAAAAAAGTTTTTGTCAATAACCATTGAATAAAAATTAGTGCTTTTATTCAATGCTATAATGACGTCGTATAAGCCTAAAACTAGTTCCAGTTTTACATTAATCATTAATTAGCATAACAGATTTTTTATTCAACGGAAAGCTTCATCTTTATGTCTCTTTATTACTTAATGATAATATAGTACCGTGAAATGTGTTCATCCGTTTCAGATAAACTATGGAACCTATTATCAATTATGTTTAATTAACGGCATCCCGTCTGATAAAAAATTCCCAGAAGGTCCAAAAATTGGAATCCCTTCACAAATGTTTCAAGATATATTTCTCGGAAGGTATTAAGAGATTTGCATTCGACCAGGTTGGCGTAACATTTCTTTAAAATTAAGATATAGGTACGTTTAACACCAATTATCATTTCCTAGAGAAAATAGAACTTGCAAATTTACGATTGGACAAACGCTGATAACAAGTCATCTCTCTCCCATCCGTTGCCATAAATAAATATAACCACACCACTATTTTACTTATTGTTGTGTAGAAGTGGGTCTATAGACCAGTTCTTATAATTATAATGTATAAAATGGCTTCCTTTAGAGCGGACGCTTTCCTTTTCAAGATAATAGTTGTTGTAAACGCTGTTGTAATTTGTACAGCTTACGTGCCGGCTACATTACCACCAGACAGAAGTGTCAATTTCGTCGGTGCAGCTAAAAAACTGCCCCCTCGTGGACCAGGGATATGCAACTTGGAAGTCCCGTAAGTTGCTTTTACACAAATTTGATTAACTTGGGACTTATTATTTGTACGACCTTGAAGTTTTGCACCTATCTTTTACTAATGAGCACGTGAATTTTCCAGTACCATTGACCTCCTTACCGAAGCAGATAGACGAGGACCGATACCTGCTGGCAATGGGGTTAGTATTCACACCTTTTCTTTAGCTGCTTCAGCTGCTTGTATATATCTATTTCCATGACGTGTTGGAAACGTTGCTACTTACCTAACCTAGTTTAAATACATTCATCGGATTAGGGGATTTCATTTCTTTTATTTCAATCTGTGTACGGACACACAATGATAACCTTTACTATCATCATTAACTATGTTTATAAATAATTATCATACACTAATTTATATAATATGATAGTACTAATTACAATTGCATTATAAAATCTTTTGTCGGTTAGCATACGCAATAAAAATGGCAAAATTCCCAAAAACAAACTAATCACATGAATTCGATGATTATTACACACATCACATCGGTTACATAAAATATTGATTGTTCAAGGACATCTCTAACGGCCCACCCACACGCATGACTAACAAGAGTCATTTTATTGCTATGTATACACGATAAACAATGGATTCCCCAATAAATATTTAGAAATTTTTGTTTAATTAGTTCTAACCGTGCATGCATTTTTGAAAGTCGTTAAGCAGAGCATAAAATTTATAAGATTGTTCCCTGTTCCGAATACGAAAAGATTTGCAGCTGCCGCGCACGCAAAAAATTTAGACCAGCGAAACGATTTTATTTAACTAAGCTAAACCAAAATAAAATCCGAATCTGACGACAGCGTACCTAGGTCCCCAGTGGACACCCTCGTTCCGCGTTTTATTTTAAAGACTACCTACCTAGCTAGAAAAGTCGCCGCGGCTATCAATTCACGGCTAAAGCAAGAGAACCCAAATTATAACTACTTTTTCACTCTTTAGAAAGTAACAGTTAACCGGTGGTAAAATCGCATAACTTTTGCAGTCTCCTAACGTCGTATTTGGTGAGCAGCTTCGTCTCCATTAACATTATTTTAAGCTCGAAAGTGTATTCCCCGTACCCATCTTCCAAATTAACAGAGAAGCGTAAATATATAAAACTTTTTGTTTCGTGAATGAAGGAACATTCAAAGAATCAAAGATGTAAGTCTAAGTCTAAGGTATTGTGCCCGTTTTCGATATTATTTATCGAGATATTTAGAATTTGCATACAGGGTGGCACAATGAAAACGAAACAGACTGAATAACTCGCAAAGAAACCATTTTTAGAAAAAAACGCAAAAACACGTAGATTTTGGTTAGGAGGACGTCCTTTACTTGAAAATTTACACCCCTGCTGCTCTAATCAGGGTTACTACCCCTCCAATAATTTTNCAGATAACACAAAGACATCCTAAAGATATCTTAAAGATGTACATTCCAAGATGTAACACACATCTTTAAGATATCTTGTATTTCCATAAAGACATCTATAAGATATCTTAAAGATATCTTTTGTTACAAATATTGATATCTTACAGATATCTTTCAAAGACATCTCTAAAACGTCTTTTAAAGACATGTTTTTAGTATTCGTATTGTTGGGTACACCACAAAAAATTGATACTTTATATACAGACAAAATTTATTTTAAGTTTAAACATTTGGTTTACAAAAACACAATGTGCCATAAATGAGGCAGTAAACGTACAAAAAAACACTATATAATTCATCGAAAACAGTTAAAAAGATTTATTCAGTGCATGTTTTTTTCGATCAAACGCCCTCCGGACCCACAACTGTATACATTTTTCTATCTCTTGTTTAGTGACATCTTTTATGGCCACAGTAGCAGATTCTGAAAAATGTTAAATTAGTTAGATGTACATAAAGGTAAAAGTTTTTGCTGTTTTCAATATTTTTAGAGCTTTTAAAAAGTTATTTATCATGAAAACTTTTTCTAGCACACAAAACAATAGAAATAATAAGAGAGTAAATTATAATTAGATACATATATTATTTCTAAGAATAAATTATGTAATAATACCCACCTATTACCAAACTGGCAACTTTTAAAGTCTTGAAAACTTTCTTGCCCTTCCTGCCCAACCAACTATATGTAATGGCTAATTCGTTCGTTATTAATAAGGCAAGGGTTCTCGACACAAAACTGTATGTGTTAGAGCCACCCACTCTTGAAAGCTCCATAACCTAAAAAAGTATATATTTTCTAAACAATTTAGAGATAAAGACAAAAGGTACAGTAATTAAAAATATTCAACTGGTTTTCACTGATTTATCATCTTCACGAAACTTCAAGTATAGATTTAATCTTCTGATGATGATAATCAAGGTAGCGAAACAAGTGTAGAGATTAAAACAGTGTTTTGGTAAACTATAGTAATTTGGTTTTTGGTTTTAAAAGGTATAGGTATAGAAAAAATTAAAAGTAAAAAATGGGCAATTTGGGGGGTTTATTTTTAGATTGGTTGTGACAGCTAAGAGATTAACAAATTGTATGAAAAGAAACTTGTGTATTTGGTGCAAAGTAAATAAGCTGTGCAAACTAAGATCATGCAGGAAATTCGTTGTATGTAGACACCCCATAAAAACTTACAGCATTTTTGAAGTTGTCCTCATCTTCTAAGGAAGTATTGAAGATTTTTATCTCCTCTTCCGAATTTAGGGGAAATTGACAACCCAGTTCAGTAAAAAAGCTTGTGGGTGCCTCATCTGGGGTTCGCTCTGCTTTGCTGAGGGATTGTTTTATGGATCTCACCTCTCCAAGGATGTCCGTCGCCATACTCCTTAAAATGTGGTATTGCTGCATTAACTGTTTGTTTGTCCTATCTAAGGCCCTATCTAAAAAAAACAAAACTGTACTTTCTACATTATTAGCAAAAAAATTATACCCTTCTCCAAACAGTCTTTGCAGCGACAATTCTTACAAGTATTATTATTTTCCGCTTCTAGGTAGTTATCATTAATGTCATCATGCATATTTTCAATATTTTCAAAAAAACTATTATCTGTCGCCTCGTGTACTCCATTTCCCAAGTCATTTCCTAAAAAAAAAATTAGATCATTATAAAGATCAAGTGCCATAGATCATATATTACAATTTAACATGTAAGTAAACTAGAAAAAATGAAAAAGAACTTACTTACCGGGTGTTATATGTACTTCCTTAAATGTTGAAGTCGAGGTTGAAGTCTTCTTTTTTGCTTTATATTTCGAAATAGAAGGAGGGGGTGGCAAAATAGTATCATCTATTGACTCCTCACTACTCGATAAAATTTTTTGGATTCTTTTCCTTTTGACTTCAACATCCTCTGGTTCTGTATTGATATCACTGGTGTTTTCTGCAATTCTTGCTTTGTTTCTCGCTTTTAAATAATCCCCTACAATAAGTTAAAATTACAAAAGATACTAAATACAAAAATTATAACTTACCATAAGTTGCATTCCTAAAAATTTTAATTTTATGAGTTGGCCAACATGTGTTCAGTGGTTCGGATTTTCTGATAGCATTATGTAATTTTTCCATTGAAAAAGAGGGCCAATGGCACTCATTGCCTTGAATCCATGTGGACGGAATTGCCTCCACCGTCAAATCGTCCAAAAATTGGACAACTGTCCAGGTTTTTGAATTCATTTTGAACTTTAAAAAAATGTTCACTTTGAAGATAGACAATAAATTTGTTATGTACCTTACATTTAAAGTAAAAATGACAAAATACTATCAAATGTCTTATCCAATCTAAACTTACATACACAAAAAACCAAACTATACCTAAGTACCTATATGTCTAAAGCTGATAAGTAAATATTGTATCAGTAAAAAAAAAAAAATTAGCCATGTAAAAATGGCATTATAACATTCTGACCTTCATATTTTAATTTCATACACTTGTAATCAATATCTGAAACTTTGAAGTGTTGCGAAGAACCTAAGTTACTGTCACAAACTTTAAATATGTTAATATCAGCTGATTCACAAGGTCTATCAAAAAAAGAATTCTTGCACAAATATTGTTTGCCTACCACCTCTAGGCACCTATTTATTTTAATAATACTAGTGATATTAATTATCTCACCATTTTTCAAGCAGCAACAATTATCAGGAAAATTAATTTTTAAAACAAAATTTTGAAATACTAAAGATTTAAAGTGTTCCATTTTATCAATGCCCAATAACAGCTGATCTTTAGCTAATGGAAATGTAGTAATATCTTCTTTATTATTTTGAACACTTGACATTTTTTCCAAATATCGTTTAACAATTTGTTGTAGCGGCTTATGACTTTTACGTACATACTTTAAGATACTTTGCATAAAATTTTCAAAGTCAAATGCACTAAAATTATCGACACGTCCATGAAGTCTCACATCTTCAGGCAAATGCAATAAATTATGAACATTATGAGATGTATTTTCAATCCCGTATATTGTCTGAAAAGTTTTTACAAAGTATTTTAAAAGGTCCAAAGCATACAGTATAAGGTGTTGAAAATGTTCACTTGCTAAAATTGTCATACCTACATGTAACGAAATGAAATTTAGGTACCGGTCTGTACTTAAAAATTTTTTTAAGACTAGTGGGCCTGTATAAAATAGCATTTGGCGAAATTCTGTAGCTTTCCACATTTTTATTTCATTGATAGACCTTGGTTTTCGATTGAATTCCTCTGGGATACATTCCCGTATGTCTATTAGTGACTGTGAAATGCCATTAATTGCAGCCGCAGACAACTTTGTTTGAGGTTTTCCAAAGCACCATAAATATAAAAGTTTCTTCATCACTCCAAGGCACACCAAGTGCATGTAGTCCAGAGGAAAACTGGTGATCATATTTAAATGAGGAATTTCCTCTAAAATTGATATACCATTTTGATGTTCATCATCCTGATCATGCAACCTAAATTGTTCATCAGTTCTTAACCGGAGGTTTTCAATATCAGGAAAATAAACTTTGGCTAGGTATTGGCCTTCAATTTGACATTTGGTACATGAAAAATACCCTGTATGACCCTTTATACATTTAATGAAAGATTTTGCAGGAGCATCACATACAATACATTTTATTCTTATTAAATATTTGTTGTTATCTATTGTTATACCATTATTAATAACTTCAATAGCATCCTGCACAAACCTTTTTAAAAAAAGATTGGCATCCTTTGGCTTTTCATAGCCATGATAAATGCCAACCATCCTTACACATTTGTGTCCAAAAATTGATATAAGGATAGGATACACTTGGCTGTGTGAACTTTTTGCTAAAGGTAGACCGTCAATATTAAGAAGTAAGCTTATTTGGTCTGAGTTTTTAAATCTGTGCGTTCCTACACATTTAAAAATATTATGAATGGCTGCCGATAAACCAAAATGATAGTATTCACCTGGGTGAACACATTCCGTCGAAACATTTCTTGTTGTATTAAGTAACGTTCGAGCATCCAAGGGTAAAGGTTCATTAATGTGATCATGCAAAAGTTTAAGTAGATCTGTAGTGGCTACGTTTGAAATATTGTATTTTAATGCCCAGTTTGCTAACTTAAATTTTATATGTTTCTCGGCTTCATTATTATCAGTATCGGAACTCTCAGATTCAAATTCAGAGAATGGTGGTTGCAAATTAAGTTCTACTGGAACATCTTCAATAAATTCGGAATCCTCATTCTCGCTCTCACATAAAACAGATTGTGATTGTAATAGGTTAAGAGTTAATGTGCTATTTATTTCCACCACATCGGCAGCTTTCATACTACTACTCTCGCTACTACTACAAGCCTCATTATTATAATGAAAACAGCTTAAAGGTGTAGAATGTGATTCTTCATTGTTAGGCTTGGCTCTTTTAGCCTGCATATAGTATTTTTGTAAATTACTTCGCGACATTGTAATGCTTAAAACTAAAAAACGCAGTGGCTAACCTAAAAATCGTATATCAACGAACCTAACCAATATTCTATCCTAAAACACTACACAAAAAGTCAAAATCACGCCGTCGGTTTCCGCAGCTGTAATTTAATTTATTTTCAAAACCAAGCTTGCTAAATTACCTTTAATTCGCACAATATAAACTGTAACGCACACACAATGGACTAATCACTAATGGATGTGGTTACTGGTTAGAAACACAGAAAAGGGAAAAACTGACAGCCGGCGTCGACAGTATCAGTCCGTTTACAAGAGTTGTTGTATCCTTTTTTAACTTAATATGTAATGATGTAGAGGACAAAGATACCCGAGATCATCGTAATGTAGAGCGTCCAACCAGTGGTCTAGGGGCTAGCATACTAGGCTTGCACCCAGGCGGTCCGGGTTCGATTCTTTCGTACGACGAAAAATTTTTTCACAAAAATACGTACTGAATTAAGGTTTAAGATTTTATTGTTAAATTTTTTTTGAAAAGCAAACATACAAAATTGCTTCAGTACTATGCATCATCGATCGCGTTGGCGGATCGCCTCCGCATGCATATGTTTTTTTAAATATTATTCTTTGTTATAAATTCAGTTTTAGAATATGTAAGAAAAGTTCAATATTCAACGTTTTTAGCGATTACAAGGGAATGATATTTATATGTATTTAATTTTAAGCTATTTTTTAAACATTATAGTACCATGAAAATTATTTGACCTAAAGGGCGTAAAAAAGATATCTTTAAGGTGTCACTATTTAACATCTTAAAGATATATGGAAAAAGATATCTTATAAGATATCTTATAAACGTCGTATGACGTTCAGATGTTAATAGGATGTAAAACAGATATCTCCAAGACGCCTTGTGTTATCTGGGTAATTTTAAATTGAGCGTTGGATCGAGTGACACATCATTTCCTACAAGTCTTTAAGTCTGCAAATTCGAGCGAGTATTTTGGAAGATACTACTGCTACTCACTGATGTAGGGCTCGAGTAAATGCAACAAATTATGTAACATAAGTACGTCTGGTTCACTGAAATTAAATCGTATCGGTATTTTACCGTGATAGTAGGTATACCTAAAAACCCAAGACAAAACATTGGAGGTTTTATTATGTTGATTTCTCATGGTTTATGTTCTTCACGATTGTTTTATGTGTAGTTAATAGGTATTTCTTATGAACGTGTTCATTCCCATAAAAGCTTGAATATCCACTTTAGGTAATTATTTTTGTCATGTGACACCCCAGGTCCTTCAAAACACTCGCTTAAATTTGAAAACGAAACCATATAGGAGTGTCAGAAATTAATAACCCTGTCCAAAATTATTGAATGGGTGGCGACTCTGCTTATGGGATTGACGCCAAGGGTCTAAATTTTTAAGTAAAATATGCCCCCCTTCCATCCGAAATCGACCTATTTTTGCTTTTTTCCAAAAAAAATACTTCCTTACGGGTAATTCAGTCTGTTTCATTTTCGTTGTGACATCTTGTATTATGTACCTATAAGCAATATTATCAAATTATATACTAATTTTACTTACATAATTTTAAATTTCACTTTCAGACCAAACCAGGGCACAGTATAATAAGCATTTGCTGTTCAGGATGGAAACCCAAACCGCACGTTGCTAACAAGTGCGAACCCATTTGTGACAATGGATGTGTTAATGGCAATTGCACAGCACCGAACGTCTGCGTTTGCTTACCAGGATATGTCAGGGACCTAGGCAACAATTGCATCCCAACCTGTCCCAAAGGTTGTGTACATGGCGTATGCACCTTACAAGGGACATGTTCCTGTTCTGCCGGTTATACTCTTGACCTTAAAGGACAGTTTTGCATTCCGATTTGTACTGGAGGATGTGGAGCGGGTGGCAACTGTACAGCTCCCAACGTGTGTTCCTGTAAACCTGGGTAAATTTTGTTGCACAACTAAATATCGGATTAATTCTCTTTTATAGGTACAAGAAAGTATTAGCAACCGGAAAATGTGATTTCAACTGTGAGGGAGGGTGTCCTAGCGGTACTCATTGCGTCGGCCCTAATGAATGCTCTTGTCCTGCGGGATTCATCAAAAGAAATAATGCTTGCGAAGCGCAATGTCCTCGAGGTTGTTTAAATGGTCTTTGCACAGGACCCAACCAGTGCACTTGCCCATCGGGATGGACACTTGACCTAACTGGTACATCCTGCCAAGCGCATTGTACACAACCATGTTTAAACGGAGATTGCACTGGGCCGAATGTATGCACGTGTAAAACGGGCTACATCAAAGATCCATCTGCTCCGGCTGGCAATCGATGCGTAGCGCATTGTCCTGGTGGATGTTTAAACGGTCAGTGTTCAGGGCCTAATTTGTGTATCTGCAATCCAGGTTTTATCAAGAACCAAGGAACAAACACGTGCATTAGAAGAATGCGACGAGAATTACATATGGAATTAATTCCTGAACAGCTTAACGAATTCAGTCGAGATTAATTTTTAATTTTACATGTGCTTTAATTTTAACGTTTTTATTATTTTACAAATTTCAATGTACCTAATAAACAGGTTTTTCAAATTGAGATTTTCAAGACAGTACTTCTGTGGACCATATTGTAGGAGTACCTACGCAAGTATCTAAATAGAGGGTATTGCTAAAGTATTGCACTTACACTAATCATTGATATATCAAAATGTTCGATGTGTGTCACACGTCCAAAATCCAAATAGTAATATAGCTGAGATCACGCATTCTGTAACCAACAGCTATTGTTAGCACAGCACCCCTGATGCTTCCCTTAAGTTCACTTGATGGTCTTAGCAGTGGGATACATAAACATTCGCAAACGTAGGAATAAGAAGGCGGGGGGTCTGGGGGCCATGCGAACACAGCTAAGTCATTTGCACTTCCAGTGATGTATAAGTTGTCACTTTTTTCCTCAATTCACCTCCTAGTCCAGTCACACTATGCCAAAAACGGCAAACGAAACGAAAAAATAATTCGTGTGTAAAGTCCCGAACGGTTTTGTTGCCGCCGTAGGGTGGGGAGGGGGTGAAGGTAACGTTTTGCAGTTTGGCGGTCATATTTATAAGTGACATCAACCCATATACTTTGGTAGAAGTCGCTTCATAATGCGAGAAGTGTTCCAATATAGCGGAATTGGCTGATTTACAAACTGGACTGAGAGTTACGCCAACCTATTTTGGAGGAAATTATAGAGTGAAACTTTCAACATGTCAGTTTTACGTAAAAAATAAAATTAGAATAGAAATAATAAACAAATGAATATTATCAAAAATATTTCTATGCTTTCCGCCATCTCTCAGCTTCCCACCTTGGACATTCCAAAACCGCATGTCCCGCTCCGTCAATGACCCCACAGTCGTTACACTTCCGTGCTCTCTCTTTCATATTTCTATTTATTCTATTTTAGAATATAATCCTTTTTATAAGCACCAAAATGAGGGTATTAATTGGACTTTATGGCACAAAACTGTCAAAAATTGCCTAGCAACGATACTGCCACTCGCAAAACTTGCTGTATTCTTTTTCATATAGATCTTTGGATTTATGAGGAACCACTTTACTTTGTGCGATTTCGAATTCACGTAATATTTCGTCAGAATAAACGTTTTCCATTTCAGCTACACTCATTTCCAACACCGAATTATTTGATAAAAAGTAAACAGTCTCAGTATTCATAGCAACACAAAAAACGCCAACTATCTACACCACTCATATTTGGTTAGCGACAAATTCCTGCAAGAACTACTAATCCCTTTTAACTTTTTAGAAATTGTGCTAAAATAGAATAAAACGTTGTATGTACCACGGGCATAATCGATTATGGCCCTCGAGAAATTAAAAGCCCTCCTTCGTCGGGCTTTAAACATTCTCTCGTGCCATAATCTTTTGATTATGCCCTTAATACATAAATAACTATTATTGTTCCATTTTCTCCGTGCCCGGTAATAAACTGAGTGACATAATAATCTAATTCACTGTGTCTTCTTTGGATCCACCCCTTGAGATTGCCTATTACGGTTTTAGCTCATGACTCGCGCTCTTGCCACTCCGTTTCCCACATGCTTATAACATCCGCGTACTTTTTTCCTTCATACCTCGTGCTGACCTTTAATCTCAGTGGAGGTGTGCCCATCATCACCAACACGTCCGTACTGGATACCATTCGGTACGCCGCTGCTATTCTTAGCTCCATCACAGATAGGCTATTTTATCTGTGGCTCCATTTTTCTTTGCAGTCTATCTAGCATGTTTCCGACTTTCTTATAGCGCTAACCCACACCTCACATCCGTATAGCACTATGTTATACACCGCCGAGGCTAGAACCCTTCTTCTTCCCTCCCGAGGGCCCCCTGTAATCTACATCAGTCTATTCAGATGTTCTGCCGTTCTGCTTGCTTTTTCAATTACTCTATCGACGTGCTGTATAAAGTTAAGACCTTGATGCCTAGAATCTCTATCGTTCTTTCCATGGGTACCCTCGCCTGGTCCACCATCAGACTGGCCTCCGGCAGCCTTCTTTTACCGGCCATTAGCGCCGCTTTTGTTTTTGTGCCTACCAGCTTAAGACTTCCATCCATTGTTGTACCTTTCGTACCGTCCACTCAAACTCGCGATCTCTGACCACCACACTAACATCATCCGCGTAAGCCATAAACTTCACCCCCGGCGGTACCCCCAGTCTCAGCACCCCGTCATAGGCGATGTTCTTTAATATTGGCCCTAGCACCGAGCCTTGCGGCACTCCATCGTTGACTCCAAACGTATATCTCGTCCCTGACGACAATTTCACGGTGTTATTCCTATTAATGAGGTAACTATACTATATATAAGTTTCCTAACTCGGTGTATTCTTTCTTCCCAGTTCCTCCATAATCGTCCTCGTCGGAATCGAATTGAACGCATTTTGCACGTCTAGAGAGGTAGTAATTTCCACCTCCCTAGTGCGCCTGGTGCCTCTCATAATGTTTTCGGAAATGTTTTTGATCTGGCTCAGCGCCTCTCTGGTGCCTCTCCCTTTTCTAAATACATATTGACTTTCTGATAAACTTGCGTACAACTCAATTCTTCTACCCAGTACTCGTTCCAGCAGCTTCCCCAAGTGACTTACCAACGAGATTGGTCTCACCGATCCCTGGTCCTTCTTTGGAATGAGGACTACGTTCGCCTCCTTCCACTTCTCTGGGTACTCTCCAGTAGACATAACCTCTTCAAACACCTTTGCAAACCATTCCGGTCTCGCTCCCGCAACTCTGCTAACCAGTTCCGGTGGCAGCCCATCCGGGCTAGGTGCTTTTTTCTTCGGCATTTTTTCGACCGCGTCCCTTATTTCCTGTACGGTGACCTTTCTAGGGGTTTGCTCCTCTAACTCCGTATCCTATTTCTGGACTACAGCATTTTGTTTTGTAGCGGGAATAACCTGTCTATTTTCTCGATAATCTCCGCGTCTGTGCCCACCGCACCCTCGATCTTTTTCCTATTTTGCCTGTTACTATTAAATTAACAACTAAAAACTCGCAGTATTGCAAAGTTGGCAATTGTAAAGATGGAATATGGCTTTGATTAGTTAGACCATTGTATTTATAAGCGAAAAATACAATGGTTAAACTGACGAATGGTGCACAATATGCTAGAAGTAGAATTTCTAAGTCCCGATCCCGCCAACAAGAACGTGGTAGATCGATAGAACGATCACCATCTATAAGATTGTGTGCCCTCAGAGTAAGAAATAAAGATAGAGATGCCTAAATAGATTTTTAAATTAGTATAAGAGTTGTGATAAACAAACAATTATAAGATTAAATTAAACAGTTTAATAAGAAAATTTATGATAATTAGTGTGTCACGACGGCAACGCTGGAACAATTTGACACGGATTTCTGTTAATTTCTACAAAACGTAATTTCTACATGTTTAACTCATTTTATAGATTTAAAACTTATTCCACTGTGTTTAATAATGTATCAGCACTCTTTGACATGGGGGAAGGGTGTACTTTTTGTGGAATTAGTGTAGTTACCTACTAACGTTTACCTTTCCTTTTGTCCTCTCAACTGTCAAACTGTGGGTTATGTTGGATCAAAACGTATGCGTCCTCTATTTTTATTTCTTACTCTAAGTGTGTGCCCGATACAGTCGTCGTCTGTGTTGCGAGATGCAATGATTTTAAGCCCTCTTAATTAGTGTAGCAAATTTTGGTAGAACAATATCAAAACCCTATCAAGTCAATAAGGTATTATAATCATAGAGGCCTCTATGGTATAAATAAGTCATGGTACAATAAGACGAGGTATGCCTATGCGCATGCGCTCGTGACATCATTGGGATAACTGGGCTCTACCACTCAATAAAGTAATGGGGTTCAATCTGTCAACTGCGGTCTCTCGAAAAAAATTCGCACGGGAAAGTTATAGTTTGTACAAAGCAATTTATTTTGATGAAACCTTTCATTAAAAAGCTATGCACGTTTTACTTTCAAAAACAACATCTAAGGAAATAATTCGTGGGAGGGCGGCCCCTTTTAGACAGCGCAATTTGATGGCCGTCTGGCACACCTTCAAGGTATAGGCTACCTACTGCAAAAAGTTCCAGGACTCTAGGACGATTACCCTAGAAGCAGTTCGAAACGGCAGAAGTGGGTCCGGACGGACGTACGGATGGACAAAACACACACAATACCACATTTTTTTAATTCTTAAAAAATGCGCTAAAAACACTTTAGAGCACATCTATTACACGTGACACTTCCAAGGATTGATTTTGTATCCATATACCATTTTCAAACTTGGCGGTGATTCTTGTGACGTCATTGGGATAAAAACGTCATCTGCGCGAACTTGACGAATTTGCGTTCAGTTATAATACAATGGCATACCTTGTCTTGTACCATGGTATTTGTCACCGGCGGTAACAAATATATCCGGATGTGGCTCGTTCTTTCCGTGAAATATGTATGATGTGCCTTCTAGATTTTTCTAAACGGTTTCTTATTTGCTATATAAGCAAATTGAATTGCATTTAGATGTGCTATATATTAAGTGTAAATAAAGTAAGTGATAAATATTGAACTGTTATAAATCAATCCATTTAAGGACCATAATAATCAATTTAGTATATCGTTAGTAGTGCTAGTTTCTGTGAGCATTTCATTTAATAAGTAATTTTACATAAATAAATCACTTAATTGTCATTGGACTCAAACTGTTACTCAGTGGTTGGCTTGGACCAATGTAATTTGGCCGTAAGAATTAATTAACATATTAACATATTGTAATATGAAATGTTTCTGTAAAGTATAAGAGTAGAAATTTGTTAATATTTGAGCACAAGTATTTGCACCACAATTAACACCTAGATTAACACAATGCAGTTCGTGTATGTGATATGTGATTTAACAGTGAAAAATATTCTAAATACTGAATAGCGCTAATACCGTTCAATTAAAGGCAAATTTATAATGTAAACAAATAATTTAACCGTTGTTTATATGCTGTCTCCGTCTCCGTCTTTCATTTATTCAAGAAGTATTGATTCAATCTCAGTCAAAATCAGTAACACCTAGACATCGTCGTGTCCTAAACACATCGAAGGTAAATATTCACAGATGGATATCAAAAGAAACACAATGTCATATAAAAAATTCACAGATTTCGCAATCCAGGCAGCCATCGGAAACATTGGAAATGATAACCGTATAACGCCATATGCAATAAATAACCCTTATTCACCCGGGACCACTTGCTCCACTCGCTTGCAAGCTCGCTCGTGTCGCAAACGTAAACTTTCTGAATAATAAGCGTCGTAACATGCTTGTATTATACTAGCTTACTATATTGTGGTACCACACTACCACTACCGCGAGCGAGATGTGCGAGTGCGAGATTTTTAGATTGGAATTAACAAAACAATTACTAACACCATTGTAAGTACCGTATCGACAGTATCCGCGACTTTTCCTGCGCTTACCGATCATCTTCTCTGCTTGAGCGAAAAACTGGTGACTTCATACCCATAATAGGTACACAAAAAACAATCATTTCCAATGCTAATACAAGCTTTTTAATAAAACAATGTTGCTATTCATTCCGGCATTTTCGGAAGTGCTTCCATTTTAACAATATTGTATACCGATACAGTTTTCATATTTACCCCTCCTAAGTAGGTACAAATTTTGACGGAACTGAAGTGCCCAAAAAAGCACCATTGCTGCTTTAGTTGTAGTACTAAAATACACTACAAGTAGTATTCTATCATAAATAGATACCTACTCGTATTATTCATTTGATAAAATCGCAAAATAAGTATCATTGGGAAAGGATTTCTTATCTAAAGTTTAGTTCGCTTTGAGGGTTCCGCTTTCCCGATTATCTTTATCTCGACACGCTTCCGATGACAACATCTAAAATCACTTCTCTCGTTTAAAATAACTAATTTCCAAATAACACTCCCTTGCATCGTCAAACCCCCGCATTCTGAAATAACATAAAACATAATTCTCAACTTTACCAGATCCTTTACATCAAAGTTGACCCACAATCTTGTCGTTGGGTATGGGAATGTCGAGATGACATATTTTAGAAAATCTACCCTTCTTTCGTCTAACTTTAATAAAAATGCTTAGGAAGAATTCATAAATATAAAGTTACTAAGAAATCGTATTTTATCAAGCGTCCAACGCCGAGTTACAAATAGACGCGTTTAGTATTTTAATTCGTTTCGCAAATTATATTAAAAAATAATTGGATCCTAAACTAATTACTTATTACGTGGATATGTTCGAAGCTGCTAAGAATTTTTATATAACGCAAGCGCCATGACCCGCAATGATCGGGCGTCACGGCGCCACGCATTCTACTTTCTTTCTACATTGATATACTCTACATTTCTACAGTAACACCTGCGTTTGAATTTTTTATCATTCAAATACTATTGGGGTAAGTTTTTTAACGTTTGCCCAGGCGTGCATGAATTCAGATATGCTTCGATTGTTCCATAAATCACAGCCGTCACGCAATTTAACAATGAACTGTTTATCCAAGTATTAGTATCGATCCCGTTTTCCAGAAATTCCATTTCCAAGATTTGCCATGTAATTACATAAGTGGGATAACGGTGATGCTCAATATTAGACGTACTTATTTCAGGATTCTTTAAAATGGTAACGAATGCGAAATCCAACGAGGATTATGATTGGAAACCCTGGAGATGAGACCGGTCATTTTTTTAATAATGTTCCAACTACATTTCTCCCTGTCGACATCAGAAAAACATTTAACTTCTGCCAGAGGTATGCAGTATGACGATAATGACGAAGATGAAGATGAGCATATTGAAATATTTAATGAAGATGACATTGATTTAAATAGAACAGGTAAGATGCTCTCCTGTAATGTTCAATTCAACCAACAAGCGTATTGTTTAGTAACGGAACTAAAAGTATTGTTCGCGTGATCCAAGAGAATTTAGTAAATTGCATTATATATGTAGTACAACAGCGTAATTAACAAAGCGCTTGTTAGTCAGTACGATACCTACCTTTACTTTTCTTGAGTTTCTGAAATTAAAGTAGTTTAGTGCGTCTGCAAAGAATGAAATTACTTATATGCATTTGGATGTCTTGTACAAAAATGCTTTTCCTACTTTTTAGATAAGGGAATGTATTTAGGATCACCATGTGAATTTACGTGTAGCCCGAAACTTATACACGTCTTTTGCAATCCCGTTTCTGGAGTGTGTGAATGTGACAAAAGGCATCCAGTAAAACTGAATCCCGCGACGGGTTGTGGGAAACGTAAGTGCTTAGTATTAATTAATGATAGCATATCGTGCTGCATGCTAATGCGTTTTAGCCAAGCGCTTAGGGGAGCAATGCTATTATCGAGAAGCGTGCAAGTATTCGGACCAGCATGCGTCATGTGTACAGGTTCATCACAACGCAGTATGCCAATGCAAATCGGGTTATCACATAGTCTCCATTCAAAAGCCGTCGAAAAGGGTATTTTGCGCTGAAGGTAAATTATAAGTACTCACATTTTTATTAGATACTAAAGTTAAAGTATTTCTTAGTCATGTCTAAAGAGTGATGACAGCAAAAAAACGTTTCCTTACCCTTATCCAACAACGCAATCATATATGGCACATTTTTGAGCTTGTTGAACACCTTCAAACTTAAATCCTTTCCAACAATTTACCTACATATATACGGAGAGATAATTTGGAACCATTTCATATGAACTTTTCTGTTGATTGAAGACAAAAGTCTTTCGCAAGTTATGCATTTAATGATATTGAATGTTCTGCTCGGGTGTACATGTACATTCACAGGAAAAACCGAGAAAATGTAAAAGTTTTTAAACCAAAATAGATGATTTGACACTTAGTACCCCATTTTAAAAAACTGTCAAAATTCGTTATGACTAGCTGTCTGGCTGGCTGGCTGTCCGGCTGTCTCAGCAATTACAACAGCTAGAGACTTCAAATTTTCACTAAAAATTTCTGTTATTGTATAGATGTGCAGGCTCTAGTCTATTTTGAGTTAGATTACACGTGAGATAGATAATTTTAACTTTGCTAAAAAAATACTGATCTGTATTACCAAAACTGTGCTTTCATCATGAATATACTGATTTACAAAGTACAACTCATACTAAAAAACCAAGCGATTCGCATATTATGCCACATCCAAATCCTCTGCTCCTACAAACGACGAAAGATATTGTTAACGTCATTTTAAAACAATTTCACAGCCACTAAGTCTAATGTTTCCACGTAACTCATGGCACGTTTATAACGTACAAGAGCTAGGTGGAGATAAATCGTTAACATAACATTCTAACATGTATTGTATAACACAAAGTTTTAATATGAATATTAATTGTATGGACAATCTTAATTAATTAATATTAATCAAGCCGAAGCATGTTTAAAACGTATCAGTAACTTTTCTGTTTCGTTACTGTATAATTATCACGACCGTTTGGAAACTTTTCCTATCGAAATTTAGCACGACTCTACTATAACAAAGGATCAATCTAATTTTTAATTGCAAAATCGTTAATTAACCAAACAAGAATAAATTTCGTTCTGTATTTTCAAACAGAATTATGTAAAGAATTATCCTCATACATCATAACTAAGATGAACTCCCTTTTTTCTTTTACTTATTATGTAAAATCTAATTTCAATAATAATGTTTATTCGTGTGTAAATAAATCGTTATGTAAAAGAAATACCTATTTAAAAATTTATTTAAATTTAAAAGTGATTAATAACCTACCCCTACGACTCTTCATTACTCTCGACGTTTAACCGCACCTTTATTTTCACTATACCTAGAACAGTAAATTGTTGTTTCACGAGAAGGCCAGAAAAAGTGTCTTGGCAGCCCAGACTGAATCAAAAATCATTCTTTGCATTAACTATAAGACAGTGGCGGCTCTTCCTTAGGTTTGCAGGTTTGCGCAACCCCAAAAGAAAAATCCATTAAATTTAATTGTATTAAACGCGAAGTAGCGTTTTGTATTGCAGTGGCAGTCAAATTGAAACAGTAGATTACATTCACCAATATCACGTCGCAACGCGACTCGTGTCAGTATCGCGGCTCACCGATGATGCTCTGCGGTTGCATTTCGAATGCACACCAATTGATTACATGAAGGCGCACGATGGGTTGCCTATCTAAGCGCGGATTTCAGTTATGCCGCATAAGCTCATAGCAGGTTGCAAGTCAAGTGCAAACTTTCGTTTAGTTAGCACGCTAATTCAGTTGAAATCGTTAGTATTTTAGCGCGCAGTGGAGTGTAAGGTGTCGGTGTGCTATCGCATTTGTTCGTGTTGATTGTGAGAATGAATTCTTACTTATTGTATGTTTAATTCATTTCATAATTGTTTAATGAATTAAATAAAAACTTCTCTTGGCACTTTTTAATGTGTGCAATCGCAACATGCAACTCCCATATTTCTAATGTACGAGCCGCCACTGCTATAAGATTTATTTTATTGATGTTGACATTTTTCACAACCATTATTTTCGTAAGCTTGAGTTACTATTGTTTTTAATTATATACCTACCTTATATTATGTGTGTCATGCATAAACGATTTATCGCAATTTTTTTGAAAGCACATCATCCAATCTATTTACGCTTACAAGTGTTTAATTATTCAGTTTTTTTATCTTCGTGAAATTTTGCAACATAATGGCGCTGTCATGCTGAATAGAGCCGTGCAGTGTGGATTATTAAGGATCCTCAGATCCTTTTATAGTTTTGTATTGTCGTCCGTCCGTCCGTGTCCGCTCTAACTCGTTTTAAAAGTGACCGACTATGTTGAAATTTGGTGTACTTTGCACATTAAGGACGGACGCTATTGATTTTCAGGAAGCTAATTCAACAGGAACAAAAGTTATAGGACTTCGAGTAAATCGGGAACAGGAAAAACTGCGGGATCAATATAATAAATCAACATATTTGATTCCCTAGGTCATGTATCGAGTTCGGACTTTCGCTAGATTATTCCCTATCACTCAGACGTGTAACAATTCAATATAACTCTTTTCTGTGGTATAGATCAAAAGTTTTAGAGCAAAATGTATCCAAAATTATTCTTTACACATGAGTTTGGAGTTGTAATAGCTTTCAAACGTATTATCTTGATGCTGAAAGAGTACATCACGTTCACATTGGATAACCGCATGTGTGCGATTCAAAGATGTTAAATTATTTTTCTGAGGCCACGTGGATTTTGATCAAAATATGTCAAAATCGTTAGTTATACACTCAGATCTTTGAGAAAAAGACTAGGGGCATGATCTCAATGCCCCACACATGAATTTGATACATTTTTGTTAAGAGAATTGGAGACCACGTGACTTTTTCATGGGTAAACAAACAGTCCCCTTACGTCTCCATTGGAGGTGTTAACACAATTCTCAATGCAGTGTGATCTTACATCTACCAGCGTATATTTATCTCTGTCACACAAATAGTGTTCCCGAACCGGTTGTCGCAGAATATGCGCGTCCTAGTAGCATGCGCTTTTTACACTGTGGCAACACTGCTGCGTTTTGACATTTGAGTGATCAAAACAAAATACAACGGTTAGGTCAAGTTCGACTTTTAAAGCATTTGCAACAAAAATGATAGCTCATTGCTTAATTTTTGAAACAAAAGCAAGAAAAACGTGTACTCACTGGATAGGTATTCTAGTAGCCAACGAAAAAATTAATGTTTAGGCTTGGAATGTATGGAAAATTCTGTTTCTGTTTTGCTTTTTTTTGGGAAACACTGAAGAATATGTCCTGTAGTAACACAAAATAATGTTTTGTACCTACAACCTTACATTGAAAGTAATCTCATTTTTCTGCGGCTTTTTCGTTTTGCTCTCAGGGTTTTATGTCGATTTTGTGGATATTTAACGTCAAATTTGGCAAACGTGATTACCATGAGATGCACCAGTATGGACACTTGATAATTTTGAATTATAATTTACGAAAACGTTTAGATAACACAAAAATGCGAATGAAATCTATTTTAGCCGTCGTAGATTAAATTTTGAATGATACACGGTAGCTAAAATCACTCGGCTACGCCTCGTGTATTTAACGTTACACGCGTTTTATTAATAGCCGTTTGCACCGATAAATTTAAGCGGGGCTTAGCTTAAGCCTAGCTTAAAATCTATGGTAATCATTGTCTCAATAATCGTTGCCATGGATTTTAAGCTACGCTTAAGCAAAGCTTTGTTTAAATTTGTCGGTTCCAACGGCCATATGACGTTCATAAACGAACTTGTATCATTAATAACTATAATAGTACAGTTGCTTCTTTTAAACAACCATCTTGATCGATCTTAACTAGTGATTAAATTTTCCGCTGAGTTAACTACCTCCACCGAGTCTTCAATCGTCAATTTTGGATTATCAAGAACTGAAATTTTTGCCAAAAATGACGTCTATGCCGTGAATGCCTCTTTTTTTGTCAATTCACCTTTTATGATCGTGATCCACCTCCGCATTTCGTAATACGCGCACTTTTAAATTGAAACGGTCATCCCATATCAACATAAACAACATGTTGTTCTCTTATTAAACATGTCAATTTGAACACACATGTCCATCTTTATACTTGTACAAAAATTTTAAATAACATTTAATAAAATAACTCACCTGCAATTTTCATAAAACTAAATGTTTTATCAAAATATCTAAACCCATAAAGAGTGCCTAAAAAAGCGACAGAGCACCTCCGTGTGCCCCACGGAGTCATTGGATTTGACCAATTTTCAATAGGCTTATTACTTGTGGCATATAGGTCAACTGTGCAAAGTTTGAACAAATCGGTCCAATTAATCCAATCCAATTAAACTATGATCTCGCGCGCCCGTCTGGTCTACGTTATTTTTATCAAGGAAGAAACCATGTGCATATCATGACCGAGTGGTCATGTGACTCAAAAATAAATATAAAGAAATGTTACACAAAACTAAAATTAGGCATGCTATCACAGCAATTATACCGTTTTATTATAGTTGTGCATATCAATAATTAAATAAATAAATAAAAAAATAAGAAGCAAATCAATACACAAGCACCCCGGCCAAGAACAAATAAACAATTGCGAATATGAGTAATCCTTATACCTTAACATGAGCCATACCTATACAGCACTGTAACTATTAAATAATAGGTATACATCTATCAGTACAGAAATAGTCATTCACTTATAGACACTTATTAAGAGATACTAACAGGCATGCTTTTATAATAATATACCTTAGATGTATTTGACAAAAATTGATACAATTCCAGATGTTGACATTCTGAAGACGGATTTTTCAACTTTAGCTGGAGTTTTGTCTGGAATAGCAGTATTATCAGGGTTAATTTGCTTCGTACTGAAACTCTTCAACCAAAATAGGTATACAAGACCACACCGGTTTGGAAATGCAAACTTAGCACCTCCTATTTTCTTCTCAAACGATGCAGGTAGTTGCACTAAATAATTAAGCGTGCGATGTATTTGATGTAAAAAAAAACTGTAAGGTCAGTGTGTTTGTTTCAGTTGAATTTCTTTTCCTTCTTCTGCTACCGACACTATTTCTAATTTCTTGTGATCATTTACGTTATGCACATATTTCTCGGAAGCTATTACTGTACTGTCTCCTGTTACATTATGCTACAAACGATGAACAATTACATGCAGTATACGCTTCTACGCAGTAACCACCCCAAGTCCCTACAGATATTTTTCTGGGTAGGAATCGGACTCCCAATGCCACTACTAGAACAGTCATCAACTTCCCATGGTACAAGTCAACGATCACTAACGTCCGTTTCATCGCGCCGTGCCAGCAGCCTTCACGGATGTCGTGGAACCTCCGTATCTGCTTCTCGTGCAGGTGCGGCTCGTGCCGCAGCCATCTTGCTGATGTCCTTCCACGAATATAACCCCGATTTCCCTGAAAAACTCACATCCTATCTCGGTACAGCTTTCGCATGTTACACACCTTGATGTTGTACTGTGCCGTGCGCGTGCTAAGTGTTCATTTTACTTACTATGTTACTGTAAAGTTCCATAATTCAAGACAAACAGAGATATTGCCAATGTTGATGTGAACCAAAAACTGGCATGCAAGATGGCAGCGGTATTGTGCAATCGATCAACGAAAGATCCATCATTAGTTGGTCGTCGAGTTATCACTTTTTTTCACACAAAACCAATGACTTGCTTAATGCTTTTTCATATTATTTTATAACTTGCATGAACTGCATGTACCTCAAATGACTGTATGTGTAGTATAGGTCGTTGTGTTGAAAGTGTGTAGGTAGTATTTTAGACAAAATGGTTGACTCAACGATTATTGTGCCAGTGGATAATTTTCATTCAAGATAACACTTTCCTAGTGCCGGAATTATCACTAGGCCGGCTAGGCCGTGGCCGCAAGCAAAAGGGGCCACAGCGTTGTGTACAAAAAAAGCTATAAGTATACATACACCGCAGGCATCGGATGCGCGTTTTTGACGCATGTTTGTGGGGGTAAAAGTAGGTAAAACAAATGTCGGTGGATTTGATACTGTGACGCGCAAGTGCCGTAAAAGTTACTTTTCATGACTTAAAAGTATACTTTTAGAGACTACGCATATGTGCACAAACACACGTCCAAAACTCGCATTCACGCCTGTGATGTATAAAGTATAGTGTGCACGTTGGAGGAAATGTCTTTGGCTCCTTGGTGCACAAAATACCTACTATTTTAGAACAAGAATTGAATTTTTATTTTCTAAAATTAGAAAATTACCGCTACTGTAAATCGAATACCTACATAACGTTTGTATACAAACAATACAATATAATTAAAATAAACAACGTACAACATATGAATATTAACGCTAACAGTTTTTTAAAATAACTTTTTAAACAAAAGTTATACTCATTTGAAGATTGGGCCTTCGGGTTACAAAGTGTTCCCCGCCTACTAGTGAGTGATCTAATTTCGCATGTAGTGAATTGAAAATGTCGCAAATAACAAAAAAATAACGATTTATCTCATTTAAAAAAGAAACACTGTCATAGTCAATGGCTGTACCTACCATATAATAATAATAATAATAAATGTCTTTATTGATTAGCAGTTCTACATTTGCAATAAGTACTGCATATATCAATTAGGTGAAAGTTCAGATTTTTTAGGTAAAATCTAATCTGATATTATTAGTCTGTAAAAAATCAGCTTCATTCATCCAACGTGAAAACGTTTCGTGAAAAACCGACTAAGAATTGTTTTTTTACGGAGTTATCAAATGTTCGCGATTTTTTTAAATATACGTTAAATAACGTTTTCATTAGGTGTACGAGTATAACTTATTTTTTCGAAAAACAACCTTTTAGAATTGGTACCGCAAGAAGTACCCACAGCGCCTTAAGTATTATGACCTGAGGCGGCAGACGGTCGTTTTCAGCATATTCGGATAATGCAAAATCGAACTCCATCTGTTAAAATTTTGATCATTCATTTCGAGCTAGCTCCCCTACTATAATGTCAATTCGCGACATTTCATCCATTCATGTGCTCAACAACCGTTGCAATACATTTTCCAATGTGCTTAATCGTAGGGTGTACTATCATTGAATTTATAACTATCGTACTATGTACTAAATTCAAAACAGAGAAGTTGACAATATTTTGGGAACGAGATCGACCAAACACTATGTTGCCTGTGGTGCTTCAAACTTCAACTTGGCGACACGATTCATCTTAAACATACGATTTTTTGAAATTTTTTGATGACTTTCTTCTCATGAATTCATGAGTTTAGTAACATGATCCTCCAAATCTAATTCTGCTTATTGTGGTGCTGCGTGTACACGCTACCTTGTGAGAAATCATATTTTTGTAATTTTGTGACCGCAAGTCCTACTTATGTTACTGTGTCCACATGTCATCCTGCTTGACGTAGTGACTGTATAAAGACAGTGTTACCATATCCTCCATGTTTTTTCCAAACTTGTAATTGAGCTGATTGATTTAACCGAATTATTAGATTTTGCTATGGTTAAATAATATTGGCACAATTGTTAGCAGCAAGGTGCCTTCATCACCTTGGTTTCCAGTTTATTACGGCGCTCAGCGGCGCCATTTAGGTATTTGAGAAATTTTGATATGCTATTTCCCACTTTCATTCTATAAACACGGCGTAATCTAGATCGTCCAAATCTGCTGTTGTTGCTATGTGTTGTGTACACATCGGCCTCATTACAACTTCAGCTCAACATCAACCTGATTAAGAGATCTTCTGTTAGCAACACCCTAACCAAAATCGTTAACACTTTTACTAGGTTGCTCACGGTGGCATGATCGTGTGTTACTAAGAACGAAGGAACTGGGAAGTCAGAAAAATAGGAATCCAAAACATTTGGACAAATGATGCCACTTGAGTGAAACATGAAACAGATTGAACAGAATGGGGGTTTACAGTATAGTTGAATTCCGCAGTTCTAATTTAATAAGCGTGTACCTGAAACCATAAAACATTTTTTTCGACAGTAAAAGCACAGACAACATATACTAGTATATATATACTAGTATATGTTGTCTGTGGTAAAAGTTTATTTAAAAATAGAGGCTGATTAGCAAAAAAATAATGAACATGTGCGGTTTTAATGGTTTATTCAAAACGATATGATTGTGGAGGGCTCTGTGACGTAATAAGCCCGACCAATCAGCTCCTAGAACCATTCAGATGACATAACGACTTGACAATATTGCAGGAGAATGGCATTTATAACTTGCGTCATCTGTCACAGGCACTTGTCACTTTCGTGCTAGATGCAGTCACAGCCGTCTATAATTACAAGCCATGCTGAGAAGTTTGGCAACGTTGTTCGAAAGTCAATCGGTGGGCCGATGTAAGTTTTAATGGCGTCTTGTTGCTCTTGAAAAATGGCATTTTCCTCTCTCCTGTGTTTCGCCTTGGCGGTTTTAATATAGAAGAAAGATACTTAGGCAGCTTACAATTGTGCCTATATATTATTTATTTACAAAAATGGATAATAACATTTTTATTTGACTTTAAAATTCGGGACGCTGTAAATTGGTAACTGCATCATAATGTGTTTTCCATCGAGATCTCCGAAATTGGTGAACTTCTGTCGAAAGAGGCCGAGGTGTAGCACACGCTTGAGCACTTAATTTCGGTAAAAGAACAGTAAATCGCTGCGCATCAGCGAGGTTATATCAACGACCAGGTGTGATTCGGAATGGCAAACTTTAAGCCAGTCGCTACTCCAGTGGGTCAAGGTACGAAGCTTTTAAAGAGGGGAGCCCCGTAGACTTCAAATTCCCGTACCATGAACTCTTGGGAATAAGTTGAAAGGTTCCTTCAGAAAATCGATTTGACATGTCTGTGCTAGAATACCTGAAATACAAACTAATTGTATTTTTTCACGATAAACACTTACTGTACTTACGTCCCAGGTAGTGTGTAGGTCATATTTGAGCTTGTCCAGGTACTTTGAACAAATACAAGTGCTTGTAAAGGGTCCAGTAAGGAGTAGCCTGCTTTAGAGGTTATGACAACAAATCGATATATTTCGTTTAGCAACTTACCTGAATAATAATTTCTGGTCATTCCGTACGGAGTAACACAAATTGTCGCAATTTCGCTCTGTTAAGACAGGTAAATTGGAATATTACACCCAAAACACATATAAAATACACCTAAAATCTGTCAAGTTGAATTAGGAAATCGGCCTACCATGCAGTGTTGCCATAATTCTCAGCACGGCTTGTAATTATAGACGGCTGTGATGCAGTTAAACATCCCTCTCAAAACGTCAAATGTGACAAACGTCAGACCCTCGCGTAAGGTTGCCAGCTCACTTCTACGTGATTGGTTGTAGGTTTGTGACGTATTTAGTCTGAAGCGTTTCAAATTCGGACTAAAAACACAGCTTTTCAATAATTTATTTTGGGTTTATTTGACTCGCAATTAAAAATTGAGGACACACGGGTCTTTTTATTTTTAATGTACTTTGTGGAACAGAAATAAAAAATGAAGGCGGGATGACCCCATTTAGGATAGTAACACAAGCGAATGATATTAGTTTAGGATAATCCTGTTTCCAAAGTAAGATCAACTTCCCTCTTATGTTTTAAGAACAAAGGGGTATCATAATTGACAATATTTATTTAAAAATAAAATACCACCTTAATTACCATTAGCAAACCTTTTATATGCTCCGTGCGATGTTCGGCCGTTGGTATTGTCATAGTGTTCTATTCTTTACACTAAGGTATTGTAACTTACAGCAAGCCAAGGTTGCATTGACGATTGAAGGTATATAAATTGCTATTAGATACAAAGCATTTAATAGGTAACGACTTAACAATTCACAATAGCTATAGGTATTCGATATTGACTAATTCTGATCTATATCTTAATTTGTGTTTAAATTTTCACTATCACGCATACATGTTTTAAATAGACACGCCGCACGAGACATACTGCAAAACTCGCCCTTACAAAATTACGGTTTTCTTTGTGAATAGTGTTCTACAAAGAGATAAACTTTAGCGATTCGCGTGTTTTAACGTGGTATGGTGAAATAGTTGGACTGATACAACGATATACATCTTTGTGAAGTATTAGCATTGATTGATAAATCCTAATTAGGATTAGCCAATACAAGGTTAGCTAACTAAAATAAACTAGAGCTACAAATTAATAGACACTTTGAGATCCTTTTCATAGATTCGGATCCACCCATAACAACATTATTTGCATTTTTAACGTATTTTCCTCAAAACGAAAAATAGCTATTGGCTGTAGTTTGTTGTTCGCCCGTCCGTCACACGTACTACTTCTACACGACTGAACCGATTTGGGCGATATGGGCCCATTTAACTATATAAGTATGGTCGACAATAAAAGGGACATCTTGCTGAAATAGGGTACTGGAGATTTTGGAGAGGTTTTGAAGAGT